AGCGTGAGCCCAAGCGTGAAGACATTGAAGCCGAGCTGACAGGCGCGCGTGTCTTTTCAAGATTAGACGCCAACTCTGATTTTTATCAGACTCCGTTAGACGAGGAGAGCTGTCGTATTTCTACATTCAGCACGCTATTCGGGCGTTTTAGTTTTCTTCGCATTCCATTCGGTTTAGCGTCTGCACCAGAGGTGTACCAGAAAAATATGTCGCAAGCTTTTGATCGCCTCTCGGTCGTGAGAGTATACGTCGATGATGTGCTCATAAGGGGCTCGAATAAAAGAAAGCATGAAGCGGCTCAAATGAAAGAGCGTTGGACGCGGTTCAAGAACATGGAATTACAAGAAACGCCGAGAAGTGTGAAACGTGCCTGAAGGAAATAATTTTTCTAAGAGATAAGATCAGTGACGAGAGCATACAGCCATCACCGGAACTCATCAGCAGCGTCTTGCAAATCCCAGAAACAAGCACAAAGCAGGCGCTTCAGCGCCTCCTAGGCATGATTACGTATCTAAAAAATTGGCCCCGTATCTGAATGTAATCCGCAAATGTCGTCGAAAGACGATAGTCTTGCGTGTGGAGAGAGTGCACAAAACATTTATTTGATGTTCTGCGCAAGAAAATTGGTGTATGGTATTCCGGAGGCGCTGCGTTAGAATGCCTCGAGCGTGCTGCGGAGACGAACGAGCGCATCAAGTCACGTCACACGTAAGACATGAGCGCCATCTGGCAGTTCCTTTTGGAAAACAAAGCACGTGGCCGTGCGCGCCCGTCTCACAGGTGATAAGGTGTAGAACGCGAGGCGACGGGTAGGTGCCACCACCATCTCGTCTTAGCAAAGCGTTAACAATACTCCCCGTTCCGTGCAAACTTTGCATGGTAAGCGCAGCGTGATAAGCGCTACCGTCCTTAAAATTACTTATGTAAGCGTTTTCTAGTAAGAGATGCATATGCAGAATATATGCGTGTTGTTATGGTGCCCCAGACATGCGCAATAATTGCTTTTTAATTGACAATCGCGCAAGCATGGACGCTCAACCTTGAGCAACATTGGTGGTTGCTGTGGATGGGGTCGGCCGTTCCAAGTACCCTAATGCCGCTAAGAGTGGACAAACAGACAAATGTACACACAGACAGATAGACAAAAATTTTTCCGTCGAAGGTCCCCAAGAAAGGCTATCGTCTTTAAAAAAATACGTGCCTCATCTCTCAGACAGAACTACTCCTCTCCCTAAACTGTTAAAACACGATCATAGACTTCACATGGGGACCCAAGCATACAAAAGTGTCTATTCTGCTTCACATGCTACTCATGGATAGATCCCTTTAATGGAAGAAGGTGCAATTCTTTTTTTTTTTTCAATCGGGAAACTCGCTAGCAGGCGCTGCCTGGGGCGGCGTTGTCCTTCGCGGGCGAGGGCGCATTCTCATTCCTTGCGAGATGGTCACGTGCAGTTCGCGTTCCCTCGCCACGTGGCGAGGACTGAAGCGGTGGAGAAAACGTTGCCCGAACAAAACTGAGCAACGAACCACGAGTTTACAGCTAATTTTTTAAATGCGAAGGATTTCTTAGCGAACTTTGTCGACATTGCGCGTATCTATCTATCTATCTATCTATCTATCTATCTATCTATCTATCTATCTATCTATCTATCTATCTGTCTGTCTGTCTGTCTGTCTGTCTGTCTGTCTGTCTGTCTGTCTGTCTGTCTGTCTGTCTGTCTGTCTGTCTCTCTGTCTGTCTGGCTATCTATCTATCTATCTATCTATCTATCTATCTATCTATCTATCTATCTATCTATCTATCTATGCCTTTTAGCTCTCCTGGCCGTTTCGATAATGGTATCGATACCAAACTTGGTATGGCGTAACATGAGTGTATGAAGAACACATTCAAACCGTGAAAATAATGACATGGACGTCATGAATGTCATGATTTACCTTTCATGGTCCTGCAGCTCTTGCAGTGCTTTCGTTCACCTGCCATGTTGCGAAACTGGGATGGTATGGCAAAATCGCATGGCAAACACAAGGGACACGCCCTAACATGAAAATCAAGACATGCATGTCATGTAACAACAGAACTACATGCCACGCTCATGATGCGCTCGCGGCCGTTTTGCTAGTGTCATATATACCAAATTTGGCATTACAGTACGTGAATGAATGGCGGAGGTATGTGACTGGTGCTAACGTGATAATCATGAGATGCGTGTCGTGTAACAACGTGACTACATGCCTCGCTCATCATGCGCTGTCGGCCGTTTCGCTAGCTTCACGTATACCGAATTTGGTATTACGGGACGTGCATGAATGGCGAAGGTATCATACTGGTGCAAACACGATAAACACGAGATTCTAGTCATGTAACAACATGACTACATGCTATGCTCATGATGCACTCGCAGCCGTTTCGATAGCTTCACATGTGCCAAACTCGGTACTATGCGACCCGAATGGACGACATACGTAAATGACACATACAAGCATGATAATCACGACATGCGTGTCATGCAACAACATGACTACATGCCACACTCATGATGTGCTTGCGGCCGTTTCGCTAGCTTTACATAAGCCAAATTGCCCTGCCACGGTGGTCTAGTGGCTAAGGTACTCGGCTGCTGACCCACAGGTCGCGGGTTCTAACCCCGGCTGCGGCGGCTGCATTTCCGATGGAGGCGGAAATGTTGTAGGCCCGTGTGCTCAAATTTGGGTGCACGTTAAAGAACCCCAGGTGGTCGAAATTTCCGGAGCCCTCCACTACGGCGTCTCTCATAATCATATGGTGCTTTTGGGACGTTAAACCCCACATATCAATCAGAGTGCTCGCGTTTCGCTAACGTAGCGTCGCTGTGCCCAGCGTGCGCACGCGTCAACGCTAAACTGGAGTATACTGGGCCGTTCATGATGCGCTCGCGGCCATTTTGCTGGTTGCGCATATACCAAATTTGGTGTTACGTGACGTCAATGGATGATGAAATATAAGAATGGTGGAAACATGATAAGCCAGACATGCGTGTCATGTAAGAACATGACAACATACCACGCTCATAGCGTGCTCGAGGCCGTTTCGCTAGCTCCACATACACTAAATTTGGTATCACGTGAAGTTAGTTGATGACGATGGTAAACGACACATCCGAACATGATAATCATGACACGTAAGTCATGTACGGCATCATTTACTTCCACCCCGTAACGTTGTGCTCATTTTAAAGTGACATATCAACATTTCTCATTCATGCTTCGCATATAACCGATTTCTACTGTACGTGGGATCTGCCAATTTTTTTTTCTGAAATAAATCTCAACGCTTCAAAGAATCTTAGTGTTCTTTCCCTTGAAAAAATGACCATTTTATTAGTTTCCTCTTTAATAACTGTAAGATTTATTGCATGGTGGTGGTGCGAAAATGTACTTGTTGGATGCGCTTGTGAAAGCGAAATTGCACGAGATCGGGCTACTTGGCGTAGTAACACATGTGCAGAAGCTCCACTCACGTAGCTTTGCGTGTGCTGCGAGAGAAAGCTGTCACTGACTTTTTTTTTTTTTACATAATCGCCATGGATCGCCCACGACCCTCTCCAAGGCTGCAATTTCCCAATAGCATGTCGGAATGCTGAAGTCATGTTGGCCAGAGAAGTTCTGGCCTCAGTGACTGACTGACTGACTGACTGACTGACTGACTGACTGACTGACTGACTGTATAACTTTGAACGTTGTTGCGAAGCGCACCTCCGACGACGTTACGAAGGGCGCCACGAAATCTCACCGCTGCAACCACTGTTTCGAAAGACGGCGACGCCAACACGGTCCCGAAGGCGCCACTGCTCCGATCTCCGCCGACACGGTCACCGGCTGTTTGGTAGCGTAGGTTTCTCAGCTCGCGACTAGCTTCTGCGCAGAGCTGATAGACGAGCGGACGAGACGACGGTGAGTTAAACAAGGTTTATGTACAGCATATATACAGAGGCGTTACAAATTCGGCACTGGGGCCGACAGCTTAGAGACCGGAAGAGCCGAGCTCTCCTCTCTAACACATAGGTCTGCTCTCTGACACACATTTCTACTGCTCGCGACGCGCCGCAGGTTTTTTTTTTTTTTTTTCATATGCACCGGGTGGATTCTTTGAGTAACCAAATGTCCAACCAGAAGTGCCGCTGGTCGTGAGGTAAGAATCCTCCAATGGGGTCGCCGCTGGGCCGCGTCATTCTCATCGAATCTGGAGCCGCTGCGCTGCACGTGGCTGCACCCAAGGACGACTGACGTCGCCACGCATTGCGCCAGACTCGCCAGACAAGAAGACGCCGGTTGCTTGCTCGACGGGCTCGCTGGCTGAGGTCACTATGCGTGCGCGGCAGAGAGGCACCGCCGCGTGTTGACGCCATTGAGTTGTTCGCGTCAGGCGGGCTCGCGGGCTGGCCTTGACACAGATTGCCTTTTTCACAGGCATGGACGTTCGCTGTGGACTCGCAGGCATAACGTCCACTGCTCTCCTCTTTTTTTATTCTTCATTCCTTTATCCCCAGTGCAGGATAGCAAACTGGATGCTTATCTAGTTAACCTCCTTGCCTTTCCTTTTATTTTGTTTTGTCGCTCTCTCTCGCGGCTGTGGGTAAAAATGGTTTGCCGTCTACGTATATTTAGAAAATTACTGAAGTTCAACGACGCTTTTCCAATATTTAAAGGTGCTGCACAATGTGTGACCACACTATTAGATTCCGTGTTCGCTCAACAACAATAACAAAAAAAGTCATCGAAAAACCTTTATTACACTTCATAGCCTTCTGATAGAATCGAGTTCTCGTGACACAAAGGAACAAGCGTACAGTCAAGGCAGTTTGCGTGGTGCGTAATACAGTTCGTTCTTTGCGGCAGACTTTCCCGTTACATTCAAAGCATCCTTAACTCTCATGGTATCAGGAAGTGCAATCAACTCGCCTTTCACACTGACTGCGTATAGGCTGTGCATGGCAGAAAAATGTCGTCCGTAGCAGTCAGGGTAAAGGCACTCGCTGATATGACCGGATATGTCCTGCATGCGGGCCTCTACCGGAAACATTAACCGAAAGAGTCGGTGAAGCGGGGAATTGAAAGAACATGTCGAGGTGAGGCTTCAGCGTTATGACGACTTGTGTGGCCTTGCCCTGGGTCAGGCCGTGGTAAGGCGCCGCGCAGAGTCCTCCAAATGACACGTCGGAAGAGTTTGCGACAGCGCGGTCTCTGTGCGTCTTGCGGTTCGGGCCATCCGCGCTTTCTGCCGGCACGAGATCGTGCGCATCAACTTCGTATTCACCGGAGAATGCGGATTGAGTGCGCCTCGCTTGGACGCGCAAGGACAACCCACGGCCCATCTTCTCCCAAGAAAAACTGTTGCCGCCTTCGTAAACTGGCCATGTAGGGGATTGATGCGATGGCTGTTCGTACGAGCTTCCGTGTTGAGGCAACGTTGACGCCGAGAAGGATAGACCATTCGCTTCCTCTTCAGGTCCATTCACGCCAACCGTAATTGGTTCCTCAGCATGGTCGACCTCGCGGTTGGTCTCCGAACCGCAGCTGCTTCGGCCAACGACATTTCCTACGACAGCGGTGCACTCACGTACATCGTTTTCAACACGGCGCGCTGTGCCTTCGGGAAGCTGGCGGTTCCCTGAAGTAGCTGAACGCGTTTTACCGAACGTGAGCTCCTCGGCGTCACGCGGAACAAGTGCGGCGACCAGAATGTCCATGCGATGGTCTCGACGCAGTTCGCGCCTCGATCTTATCTTCATTCGGCAAATGGGGCATTCATTGTTGCATCTGCGAAGCGCCGCTGTGATGCACTCCTCGCAGAAACGGTGCAGGCACGCGGTCGTCGCCACAGCGTTTCTCAACAAGTCGAGACAGATACCGCACATGAAATCCCGCCGAAAGCTGTCTTCGTGAAGGGGTACTAGCTTCGCATCGTCCGCGAATAACTTGTGGCGGGAACGCTGACGTTCGTAGTCGTTCAGTTGCCAACGGTCGTTACCGCTTGAAGACGACATAGTGAGTCGGACCGAGCACCACTTCTTTCGTTGGGGCGGTGTGGACAAGCGAGCGCTCCTCAAAGCGTGCACCTCCGAATGCTAACTCTCACGTGAAATCGAAGCGCAGGCAAGACGCGGAAAACACCGGAGCAAATAAAAAATAAGAATCAAACAACGCCGCACACGCGCCTTCTCTTCCCTTCGAAGGCGTCGCCGCCGTGCCGACCGACCTCCTCACATCTACTGCCGAGCAAACTGTAGAAACATCTCAAAGGAAGGAGCGTGGTGGACGCAGGAGTTGCGTTACGTACGAGAGAAGGTCCCGCCCTTTCCACTGCCTCGGCTGCGCGACGCGCCGACGAAACGCCTACATTTTTCGGGAACCTAACGGCTATGTTTCTCTATGCTAGTGCATGTAAGCCAGCAGCGGAGGGCGTCTTATCAGGAGATGAGAGTTTTCGACGTTGAGTGGCGTGACAGCGCCTCGCCGCCTGAAACCTTCCGCGCTGTCCTAGCGGCGGCGCTGCAGTCGATTAGTACTCAGGGGCTTTATTGGTACTGAGAGCGCAGCGCTCCGCGCGCAAGAACTCCTCTGCGCTTCGGCCTTCGGCTCTCCCGGCGCGCTTTTTTAAATGAAAAGCATTTCTTAACGAACTTCGGTGACTTTATGCGTATCTATCTATCTATCTATCTATCTATCTATCTATCTATCTATCTATCTATCTATCTATCTATCTATCTATCTATCTAGCCGCCTACGACTTTTTTGAAAATGCGAATCATTTCTTAGGGAACTTCGGTGACATTGAGCGTATCTATCTATCTATCTATCTATCTATCTATCTATCTATCTATCTATCTATCTATCTATCTATCTATCTATCTATCTATCTATCTATCTATCTATCTATCTATCTATCTATCTATCTACTAGCCCCGCCACGGTGGTCTAGTGGCTAAGGTACTCGGCTGCTGACCCGCAGGTCGTGGGTTCGATTCCCGGCTGCGGCGGCTGCATTTCCGATGGAGGCGGAAATGCTGTAGGCCCGTGTACTCAGATTTGGGTGCACGTTAAAGAACCCCAGGTGGTGTAAATTTCCGGAGCCCTCCACTACGGCGTCTCTCATAATCATATAGTGGTTTTGGGACGTTAAACCCCACATATCAGTCAATATCTATCTATCTATCTATCTATCTATCTATCTATCTATCTATCTATCTATCTATCTATCTATCTATCTATCTATCTATCTATCTATCTAACAGTTGCATCTTGCTGGCAGAAACCTGGAGGCTTACAAAGAGGGGTTAGCTTAAGTTGGGGAAGACCGAGTGAGTGATGAAAATTAACGCAATCAGTTTAACCTCAAGGGACAAGACGAGAGCAGAGTGGATCAGGAACAAACCGTGGTTAAGAATATCATAGTTGAAATCAAGAAGAAGAAATGGATATGGGCCGGGCACGTAGCGCGTAAGCTCCATAATCGCTGGTCATGAAAGGTAACTAACTGGATTCCCAGAGAAGGCGAACGCACAGGGTGGACACAAAGTTAGGTGGGCCGATAAGATTAGAAATTGGGTTGATTGGCAGATCATGAGCCTTCTCTTTGCCAACCCAGCCTCGCCAAGTAGACGGAGGCAGCGCACGCTTTTGTGTACGAGTGCCAATGTTCCCGTTAATTAGGGAGCCAATCGCCGAGCTAATTCCAAGGGCCGACATGTCAGCCCCCCGATCTGCACCACGACAGCACGGACAATTTAGATGTGGTCTTATTTGGCGCGCCAGCGGACGGCGGCTGTGGTCCAAAGAACGAGTCGGAGCCGATAGTTGAGAAACAAAACAAAAAATATATATTCAAGTATGGCAGATCAGGTAATACACAATTATGCACACTCGGAATAGTTCAATACAACACGTCAGCGCTTAAACAACGGACTACACAATACAATCGACTACACTCAGAACAACGGACACAAACCACGACACGCGCTACAATGAAGTCACTTGCATTAAACAACCAATACACTTAAAGACTAAAAGTTCGTGGAACTTAATCCATCGAAAGTTCTTGGAATAAAGTTTGAATGTTCTTTCCTAGGAAAAACTCACTCAAAGCCCAGCGCAGTTGTCACTCCGCTGCCCCCGAAGCTTCTCTTCCAGGAAACCTCGCGTCGTCAAATGCCCGCACTCCAAGCCCCAAACTTATTCGCCGGTAACACCTCGCAATCTCACGCGCTGCGGCTGCAAAACACGTCTTCGCCCACTCGCGGTAGACACACACCCTTCTTCTGCTTGTAGCACTAGCCTTCACCCGAACAAGTGGAAACCCTCTTCAACGCCTGCTTTCTCAGTTTGGACAAACGCCTTCACCCCATGGCGGAACAACTGATGATGATGATGATGAGAATGATGATGATGATGATGATGATGATGGTGGTGTGATGATCATTGTTATTCCGGCGCGCACCCACAAAGGAGGATCGGCCGAGAACCGGGCGGCAGGATCTTTAATTAAAAGGCTTATATTATGGTTTTACTAATACAAAGTAATATTGGGCTGAAAAATATATAGAGAGAGGGAGAGAAAAGCCAAAAATCGCCAAAGAGTATATCTGAGCAAAGGTCGATGCAGGTTATCAGATCTGATTTGAGATAGAGGTAATGATGGGTCCAAAACGAATGATATATATAAAAAGCCCTCTAACATGGCAATTGCTTTGTTTAAATTATGTAGTAAAAATACCACAGAGCAGACGTCTTGTGGCTATAACCTAATTTAATGCTGCCAAACGATAAAATTACTGCCACATTTAACTATAACCCCAATTTTTCAAGTGGAGCTACCTGGTATCTTTTTCGCTGATAAGAATATCGGTGACAGAATAAAAAGAAATGATATATCGTTTCTATTTCTTCGCAAGTCTGACATAAAGGTGACGCTTTTAGACCAACGATATAAAAATAATAATTTAGTTGTGGAATTCTGCAACGCAATCTAGTATAAGCAACTTCCAATTGCCATGTTGCGCACCACTGTCTATTCCAGCAGCATCTAGGATGAGCGAAATCTCGAATTTTATCCAGTGAGTAGGAGTTGATTTCTTGCAAACAGAGGTTTCTAAACCTTATTGCTGTCGCGTAAGCCGTATCAGGCAAAATCGGGATGAGAGGACCGCTAAGAGATACTGTTGCTAGTGCATCCGCAATCTCATTGAGATATAGGCCACGATGGCCTGGTACCCATAACAGCTGAAGTTTTTGCAAGTTTGTCGCTATGAGTTGTCGAAACATATGCATAAGTGTCAAGTTGGCTCCCGAAGACAGAGCAGCACATACTGAAAAAGAATCTGCAATTACGACTGCTTCTGATTCTCCCAAAGGAAGTTTCCGCAGTGCCAGTAAAATATCAAATAATTCTACCGTGAATATTGGTATGTATTCTGGAAGCCTAACCGAAAAGAACCAGTCCAGGGAACGCGAGAAGATATCTGCCCCAGCCTTTTCGTTTGATACGGATACATCAGTCGCGATTGTGTTGTTCATGATCACTTATGCCAAGTAATCTTGAAGCCGATCATTTAAATATTTAAATGGCATTTGCTTTGCGTTACAGGGGTAAATATTCTCAAATTCTATCTGAAGGTCTAAATTAGAGTTAATTGTTGAGAAAATATGTTTGATTTTGACGTTCAGTGGTTCCCGCAGTGCTTGATTGATTGATTGATTGATTGATTGATTGAGTGATTGATTGATTGATTGATTGATTGATATGTGGGGTTTAACGTCCCAAAACCACTATATGATTATGAGAGACGCCGTAGTGGAGGGCTCCGGAAATTTAGACCACCTGGGGTTCTTTAACGTGCACCCAAAACTGAGCACACGGGCCTACAACATTTCCGCCTCCATCGAAAATGCAGCCGCCGCAGCCGGGATTCGAACCCGTGCCCTGCGGGTCAGCAGCCGAGTACCTTACCCACTAGACCACCGCGGCGGGGCTCCCGCAGTGCTTGAACAGACATGATCTTTGGGGAGTGGAATTGCGTCCACCGAGTTTCAAAAAAATAAGTTTCGCTCTTTAATAAAAGCACAAAACGATTATCTCTGGGGTGAAGTGTATAGTTTTAAAGATGTGTATAGTAAGTACTTAGAGTCTATTTGAGTCTATACATGGTGGACGCGCTTCCATGTATAGCACATTGTTAGCAACAAACTTGGGCAGGCCAAGGCACAATCGTTAAGCTTCCCTTTCCAATAGTATAAGTGGTCTCATTTTATAAGTCGCGCAGCTAGAAAATAACGCACAGCCGAATTCCATGATAGGACGCATGTACATTTTATATATCATTACCAATGTATTTCTTCGCAGCCCCGTTTTTCTGTTGCTGAGCTTGCGTAACAACCCCATGGCCCATGTTGCCTTGGACCCAATGTGATCAATGTGACTTTCCCAATTAACGAGCTGTTATATATGATGCCTGAGCATTTGAGTGAATCCACTTGGGGAATCTCTCGGAAAGCTCTGTGCCATACATCAGGGAGATGTTGACAGGATCCCTGAACGAGAACGCTAGAAGCGCGCTATTGTTTACGTTTAAAAGACATTCGTATTTTTTCAAGCCATTCCTATATATCATGTTTAGGTAATTCTGTAATATCTGATATAGTAATTGAAGATCACTATTTGTCGCAAAAAGGCAATGCCATCTGCATAGAGATATAAATGAATATCGCTATGTGTTGGAATCAAACTAAGGAAGATGTTGAACAACAACAGTGATAGCACTGCCCCTGTGGTACGCCACGGTATTGCTGAAATCTGTTAGAAAAACAACCCCTTTGAAAGCAATAAAACTCTCTCTCCCTTAAAAACTCTGCTACCCACGCTCTTGTGTAGTTTGGTAAGCGATACATTCACATCTGCTGTATTAGTATTTTACGCTCCGCTTTGTCGTACGCTTTGGCCAAATCAAGAGTAACTAATGAACAATACGCTCTTGTCCCAGTCTTTGTGTCC